ATGCCGGTATCTGCTAACGATGACGCTTGTGGGAGAATGGTACGCGCCTTGTCTTCTAGGCGGTCTTCGCCGAACTACGCCGGACGAGATCATGGGAAACAGATAAAAACAAGTAAAAATCGGAACGCCGTCATAAAACAAATAAAAGCTAAAACCGCGGCACATGAGTAAAAACACAAGTGCCTTGCGGCGGTTTCCATAGCACCTGCCGCGGACAATGACGCAGAGGCTTGGCATAGGTTCACATCGCAGCGTCCATGGCATTTACTATTGTAACCCGCCGCGTGACATCTGTTTTTGTTGCTCAGATGTTTAGGGCTTAGAACACGAAGAGATCAATCAGATGCTCTTTCACGCGCTCTGAAATAAAATTAAAAAAAGGAAAAGAAACTGACGCGCCGCCAAACCAGGTGGTTTGACGTCACCACCCATGCATGGGAGACGCGTACCCCATGCTTGGTGGCATAAATCCCGCGCTTTAAATGTACCTATTGCTAACTTACACAAGCCTCAAGAAGAATGCTGGGAGCGTAGATTTACGCGCCACGAGCCCTCGCCTTCCTCGTATGAAATATTCGAAGTAAATCACCATAATATGATGTTAAACGCACCTGCAAAATGCTCTTCTTTTTTTTTTTTTTTGCTTTTGCTTTTGATTTTTTAGAACAGCTACTGCTGCAGACGTCAGCACGCGCGACGCGTAGACCTTGATTCCCAACACTCTAACCGCTCATTCACACTGGAAGCGGATCCGCGTTCGCAAAGCGGTTGCGAACGCGGTTGTATAAAGATTCAGTACAAATTGCACGCGCACACGATGACATCAAATGCGCGTGCAATTGTACTGGATCTTTATACAACCGCGTTCGCAACCGCTTTGCGAACGCGGATGCGCTTCCAGTGTGAATGAGCGGTAAGGGCTCATTCACACTGGAAGCGGATCCGCGTTCGCAAAGCGGTTGCGAACGCGGTTGTATAAAGATTCAGTACAAATTGCACGCGCACACGATGACATCAAATGCGCGTGCAATTGCACTGGATCTTTATACAACCGCTTTCGCAACCGCTTCGCGAACGCGGATCCGCTTCCAGTGTGAATGGGGGGTAACTGATGACGATGACGATTCTAATCCCTGCAGGAGGGGAAAAAGGGGGACAAAGGACGAACACAAACCTCCAAACACATTTAGGTGAATGTTGATTCACCTAAAAAATTATTATTTTCATTCTTGTCCAGCTCGCTTGCACCTTCGAATTCATTGCGTTATCATCATAACCTTAAAATGCAAGCCGTTCACAATTGCTGGTGTTAGACTGGTGGCAGCTGATAAAACCCGCTTGCTTTATTGGCATCCAACTCTTGTTTAGCTCAGTTCGTACAGCGCTCTACTGGAAATGGAGAGGTCCCGGGTTCGATACCCGGACCAGGCGGATTTTTTCGATCGCGCACCAGTCACCTAGCTGTGTTTTGGGCTCTGTGCTTGTCCTTTGTCTCCATTCTTCCCCTTCTCCAGGGATTATATCGCTATTCTTGTCCAGTTCGCTTGCACCTTCGCATTAACTGCATTATCATTATTAGTGATGCTTGGGTAATTTAGCAATAGATATATTGTTTTACGATGTGAAATCTAGTCAATTTTGAAAGTAGAAAGGAGTTTTTTTTTCATTCTTCAACAACACAAGACAAATAAAAAAAAGTCAAGGATGAGTTTGTTAGCGAAGCCTCTCTGATGCCTATTCAGGTGAGTTTGAACAACCTAAAACGAGCCCTTCGGCATATGTAGTGCGAAGTCATATCCGGTTAGCTTGTACTACCCAAAGAGAGGGCGCCGCAGTTAGTTCAAACCTTCAGAGCAAGAGGCCTATGCGGGAAGAAACGGGGGGAACTGAGGAGATTTGAGCTCAAGGGGACGTCAGAGCGCGAGCTCTAGTTCGCATGATGAGTCGTTAGACAAAAAACTAGCTGCCTTTTCCTCATCTCCCTGTTCGAACGCGTTGAACGCCGAACGCCGGCGTGCAGCCTTCCGTGCTCATGTTCGCACGCGTTCGAACGTTGAGTAGAGACAAAGGCACATAGCTTTGCGTCTACCCCCTAATGATTCCATTCAGAGCTTTGCGCTTTTGCGTCACCGCCGCGCCCTCGGCTCCTCCTCTTCCTAATTTTCTACCCGCATAGGCCTTTAACCCTAAAGTTTTGAGCAGCGGCCCTTACGAGCAAACTTCCATCTTCCTGCTGTGCGTCACGGCGTCTGCTCACGTTGGTAGACATTTTGAAACAAAACAAAGAGAATAGTAAGGGAGAAATAAAATTACAGCGGGTCTATATGACGGTGAAGTTTCGAATTGCATTCTTGTGTCGCTGACTTCAATGTTCTTTTTAGCTCTTCCATACGCTCTGCTAGCCCGCCTTGACAGGCGCCGGCAAATGCGAACCAATGTGATGAATTCACGCTACGATGCCGTTGCGTGTCAGCATAAAATGAACGCAGATGCCGACGGAGGCTACAGTGCCTCTCCAGTGGTCGCGTTTTGCAGACGTTAAAGGGACAATGAAGTCGATTTTAATTACTTTTTTAAATTGTGTTTGCAGACTTCTTGGGCACCTACAACACTGCCCAATTTTTTATAGACATTTGTGATGCCCATTTCTGAGCCTACGAAAGAACTGAAGAAACCGAAACTGAACTCTCTCCACGCCTTATATCCGGGCCTCCGAAAACGGAGGTGACGTAGGGAGTGACGTTAAGCGTGAATAGTCGGTGTCGGTAGCATTTAGGTGATCGAGACTCTGCATTCCGCGGTGGGTTATAGCAGCGCGTTGGCGCGGTCGTTTCGTCGGACCTGTCAACATGAACGAGAATGCTGCTCTCGTGAGCGAGTTCGGGCACCCGCTCAGTTAACTAACACCAACAGAACGGGGGATGCTCCTTTTACGAGGACACCCCAGAATTGCCGTCGACCTCTCAGTCGTCTACCCAGTGTGATTTATCGCCGCCCAGCTCGCCTACGCCACCGCAACGTCGTTACGACGAATCACGTACCGTGATTCATCGCCGCTTCGGTGGGGACGGTGCGGACTCATCGCGAGGTGCAATGGAAGGAACAACCTCCTTCCTCAACCGGAGTCGCTTCGCACCTATGCCCAGACTCCAGTTAACCGGAAGGTGCTGTTCAAAGTCTTCTGACCGAAAATGCTGCAAACCAATTCTGACGCCGTCACCGAGACCTCTACGCAAGATAATCCTATTCAACCAGCGGCTTCGCAATGCTTCATCGCTTGTCGGTACATGACAAATAGCGTCGCCCGAACGATCACGGGTCTTCAGTCGACCGTTAGGGCAGCCTTCCACAGCGCACAAATTTGGCATGGCTACCGCTTTGCAGAATCCTTCGAGTGCCGTGTTGGCCGTATTCCCAAAGTAAACACGACACCGACATCTGAAACCAAAACCAAACGTCACCCGCGTGCTCACCGCTGTGTTCTTTTTTTTATTTATTTTGTTTGCCTATAGTTGCTCGTTGCTCGTTTCGTGTCCAGGGTAGCTAAGAGAAAAATAATTATGCGGATTTATTTACGGTTTAGTAATCATTCCCGGTCCGATTTATACTCTTCATAGTTATTGAAGTGGAAATTGGGGCAGTGTTCATAAAAATCGCGAACCAAAACGTGACCGAGGGCACGTCTCTAGTTTTGACCAATCACTGACGCGTCTCTTGTGACGTCGAGCTTCCTGGCCCCGCAACGTCACGCGAACTCCGCTTGTGCTGGCTTCTCCCGCAACTCCCGGGCCGTCTCCGCAATCGATCCCGGCAGGATTATTACCACGACTGCTTAATTGATTGGTGCGGCACACAAGCGCCCGCTTCGGCTGGAATTTGGGCAATGTTGCCTGGGCCGCCGTGCCTGACACTCAGTTAAATCGAAAAAAAAAATCCGAAATTGTCTTCATTGTCTTTTTAAAGCGCTCCTGGCCGAGGGAAACATGCCTATAGTGAAGAGGCGTTGCTTCGGGTGTGTTGCGGCTATTGCTGAGTTCACGTTGAAAGAAGGAAAGAATCGATGAGAGAAACTTTATTTCATGGTGTTCTAGGGCCAGATTTGTCATGCAGTGATAAATATAGAAGTTGCATTTAATTTTCTCGCTTAATGTACTCTTCTTCCTTGTTGAATCCTCAACGCTTGTGTTTATGCCTAACGAATTCCCGAAGTGATGTCTCACGTGAAAAACACTATGTTGAAAATTTAGTAACAAGGGTATTACAATATATACAAACAAATAGCGTGACTCTGAATGACGAACTTGTTAAGAAGACTACACAGCTCCAATTTGAGACTAGAAATTTTAGTTTAGCCTCTGAAATACTTAGTTGGAAAGCATGGTTGTTATTGGGGGTGACCATAATCCCTACGTATACTCCTAAACATAGAAGCGTGATGTAAATGGGGGCAGCGTACTGCCACTCTCCTGACATCAAACAGCCGGAACACAAGTGAATGGTATCTTGCGTAGAAACTACCAATGCCAAGATTCAAAGAGAACTAAGAGTAACATGTACACGAAGATATTTCGAGACCCACTTGTGTTCTATCTTAGACATCTTTGATAAATAATCTGTGATCCACTGGACATTCGGTGTAAACTTAGTATTGAATGCTATGCCTTTCTTGGCTGTAGCTCTGCCAGCATATTGTTGTACGATTACACATTACAAATGCTACAAACTCGTCTTTATTAATACATAGCAATTTTTTGTGTAGCTTTTATTTCGACAGCCTTTTTCAGCCAATAGCTATAAACTGAATGCTCACATACTTTATCATATAAACGGTATGTTATGAATCACGAGTCATGTAAGTATTGTGTAACATAACGTAAATATGTCTCGTGTTAATATTAGCTTTGAGAAGGACTACGATTTGTATCAAACTACATGAAGAGATTACTTCAAACTTAAAAAAAAATTGTTAATATTTACTATTCCTTTTTAAAAAAGCTCACCTTCAGTTTTCATGGAGTCTAGCACCTCTTTTTCAAATATGAATCCATCTCCTCCTCTTGCCATGAAGCTCGTAGTTACTATCTTATAGGTAACCGTCGGTTCTACTAATTCATACTTAGGTACGCTGCAATTAGCGCACAATATCTTGAGTTTCTCAGTCCTGTTGTGCTGATGACGTAAGAAGTTATAAACCACCCTCATTCCTAGAAAAAGAAGAGTAGTCGGAATAAGTTGAAACAAATAGCTGCACATAACATTGCAATTATTTAAATACCTTAATATGTACAGAAAATAGATATTGATAAAGTTTTACTCAAACCAGCTTTTATTTCCTCTCTTTTCATAACTCCCAACATAACCCAAGCATGCTGATATGCTTTGATAGGCCCCTTGCTTTTTTTTTTGTTTATAAAACAAAGAGTTATTTCAAATCCATTATATGTTCCGAGTAGTTTGTTTACAAGGTGTAAATGACGTTTTTTTCCAAGTGTTGAGTTTCTCTCGCAGAAGTTTGGCCTGGGGAGTAGGCGCTTGTTTTGAGTTTATAATAGCCATGTAATAAGATGTCCCATTTCTCGCTAGAGCAATGTGTCCATTACTAACTTGCCAACGACAAGATTTGTTTTTGTACTAGCTACAGAGGGGCTCTAGTGGAATACGGACGCAAATTCAGAAGAGAACTTTCAAAGAAATCGGGTATTCAGTTTGGGCCTGCGACTCAAAAGTCTTCGAATATGTCAGTCTGTTTTATTCATTGCCATAATTGAAGACAGTTAAAAAAATGGTTCAAGTGTTATTGTTATCCGCTGAAACAAAGATATAAAAAAGCGAAACTAAGCTCGTACTTTTATTGCATGTAACCATCCCTTGCTCTTTTTTTAAACTCGTATTGCATTATAAATTTAAGGAGGCCAAACTGAAAACTCAAAGCGTTTATCTGTAGGGTCGAGTTGCTTCCACTAAAGGTAATTAAACCGGTTGCCAAGATGCTTTCAAACAGTTTTAAGGCGGTGCTTCCCAGGTGACACTAAAGGCTTCAATAAAATTTGGTTCAATTATATCGTATTGTCCTCGAGGATACCCAACATATCTGTGTAGGAAGCAGGCACGTAGCCAGGATTTTGTTACGGGGGCGGGGAAGGGGGGGGGGGGGGGAGGAGGGGGGGGGGGGAGTCCGCTTATGGCAAAATGTTGTATGAGGGGAAGGGAAGAGAGGAGGTCCCACAAAATGAAAGGTTTCGGGGGGGGGGGGGGGGGCGGGCCCCATGGGCCACCCCCCTGGCTACGTGCCTGGTACGAAGGATAATATAGCTGCAATATTGAAAAACAATTTATGGTAGAGCAAATACTAAATAAACTGTAAAAGGACCGACATTTTTGGTAACTCATAATAATACGCAAATAAAATGTAATTAGTTTCATTTCGTCAGCAGGAACAGAACACCAGTCGCGCAAAATGATTATTCGTGCTCTCCTCCTTCCTCTCCTCTCCTTCTTGGCAAATTGCTAGCGGCAACTGAGTATTGTTATGAGAACTTATGGGTCCATTTGCCAACGCTATTTCCGCGGGGCGTAGAAGCAAACCATATCCCTTACAGCACCTGACACGCCCCCTTGTCACGTGACATAACGTCACTTCCGCCAACACAGTTTGGTATGTCACGTAACATGACGTCACTTCCGCTTTAAAACGAAACCACTTTTTTCATTGGTTTGCAAAGACATGACGTCACGCACGCCCGCTGCGGTAAGTGAAACATGGAGCCCGCCCCCTGAAACACGATGCCTACGCTTTCGATCAGTCGCGGCTGAAGACGGAAACGCTTGGAATGCGAAGCGTACGCGGTTGACGCGGTCGCGGCTGAGACGCTGTGAACGCAGTGCCGCGAGGGGTTGAACACTTGATGACGCAGCTATGTAACGCCCGCAGTGTGCGACGTCTCACATCGTGCTTCAGGAGTACGTAAAAGGCGCTAGTTCTCTTTTCGTTAGCGTTCCCAACTCGTCACTTGATAAGAGCGAAACAGGTTACTACCAACGCCGGTGGTTTCCGAAGTCGAGCCTTTTCTCGATGTCGCCGCTGGTGTAGACTACATTCTTGCTGAGCAGGTTCGTCGATGACGCGGTGAATGTGAACCATGTTATGCAAAAACACTTGCACTTTTTGATACAAAAATATGCTCTGTCGTCACAAACGCTTACGCTGTCATCGCATCACCGTTACTCACGGCAACGCAGGTCGTCGTGCTTGCCTTTCAGCGGTGCCGTGGAGCGACCCAAAATAAATGTGGCTATGTCTACAACTGGTCCACGCTCGCTCGAAAGTGGTGAAGGGATTAGCTTAGCACCGTCAGAAACACTCGTGCCATTAAAGATCCTTTCATGGTGGAGCTACGCAGATGACGATACGCATGCCCAGTGGAACTAGGAAGATAAGAAACAAGAATGCATACTTCGAACTCGGGAAGGTTTTCTTTCATCACAATAAATATATCATTGCAATGCCGTGCTGGTTTCAAATTTCAAATGTTATTTACTCAGTCCCTTTGAAACGACTGAGGCCTTTATATGAGGCACGCACATGCAAAAATGAACAATGAGAATATGTGAGAACGCTATGGCAACGAGCTGTAAAGCAAAATGGCAAGTTTACACTGAAAAACAACAGTTTTCATAAACATTAAAAGAAGATGACGAATGGAAATAATAGCTTTTCACAAGAACTTGGATAAAGCAAACGGGCGTGTCGCCTCAAACGTTTAAGGCACATGAAAGTTGTAAATTTGAAAGGTACTACAGCTTATCCATGAAAAGTGGGTTCACACACTTGCAATTGCTTACGACCAGAGTAGCTGACCAGTCACACAGTTACAAGAGACTTAAAACCGGTTTCAAGCGATTCCTATTGTAAGCAGTTGCAGGCGCGTGAAAGCCTTAACCTGTGACGCTTCCGCTGTAAACACCAACTGTAATCAATGAATCAATCTCTTTTGTTCTTACTTAGCTTGCACCATGTCGGATGTTGTAACAAAATTTCACATCACAGTTGTTTGCAAGAGCCCGAAACTATCACGTCTGCAAAATAAGCAGAGATTTAAAAACTCGTGTCGGATTTGAGGTCGCACCCAACTATCCCGGACACGGAGCAGACGTTCGATTGTATTTGTTCGAACGTGCAGCTGTGTTTTTCTTTTCAATAATATAATATATGGCAATGAGCATAAACAACAAAGGAGGCACACAGCAGTAATATCAGAAAAATAAAAACACGTTAGAGAGCAGCTGGACTTTAATTCTACTTGCTGGCTGATGAGAGTGTGGACGACGACATGAAAGTGCAGTCTTCTGCCGCGCATGTGAACCCTCCGAGTACGCCCTCTTTCAATCACTTTTTATGCGCTTCTGAAGTATCTTTAGAGAATCTAAGAAAAAGGAACTTGGGCCTAAGGACATTGGTAACTGGCAACCGGTTCATCCTCAGCAAGTGCTGCCAGCAAGTCTGTGCCCGACTACATTGCTGAGCTGCGTCGTGTTGCTCAGAACCGCGAGTAGACGTCATGTTCATATACGTTTTGCGACGTGTTGGTTTGTGGGGTATGCGAGGAAGCCATTCAGCGACACCTTCCGGACACGAGAGATTTCACTTTTGGCACGGCTCAAGAATTTGATATTGCTGCGAAGCATGCCGCAAACCGCACACGAGGAACCCCATACTTCTGGGCTCAAGAGACGGCAGAGGTTCGCCACATTGACAAACACGACCCACACAGGGCATGAAACAGTTCATTATTGTCAAGTCAAAACCCTGGCGCAGTGAAGACATCTCCGAATACAACTACAAAATGTTGCGCTCGACGCAAGTGGCTATAATTTTGAACATGCCATTTCTGTGACGGAAAGGAACACATTATACATGCATGCCATCAGAAGTTGGCGAAATCCAAGCACCACGCACCGGAAGCAGTATCCATTCATCGTCTGGAATAACACAGGACAAAGGCAGAGCCTTAACTTCAATTAACTGGGGCACAAATCGTCAAAGTTCAACTAAATTAAATACCCATCTGCATAGAAGTTGACAGCTAGGGCTGCTTGGTCCACAATTATTCTATAGAGAGGATGTCACATGGAACGCCAACATAGACTTAAACGTAAATCGCTTCCCAGACGTGTTCCTAGGGGGTTTTGGGAAGTGTCAATTTTTCCATACGGTTCAGGGAAAAAAGCGTGAGCCACCATTGCTGATCATGAGAAGGCGTGGAGCAAGCTTTCTTGAAAGGAACCAGTTCCAAGTGTTCAATAAGCTACGTGATGCGTGAGCGATAGACCTTTCCGAAAATATGTGGTGCCCGCAGCGTCTACTTTATGCCTTGCGACGTTCAGATGTACGGCAAGAAGAATTATCCAAGAATTGAAAGCGAAGTTGACGTTGGTTTTACCGTTCGTGATTTCAGAACGCGGAGAAGGCAAAAGGAAAGCAAAACAGAGGGTGTGATGACCTTTTTCTTTACCGCTCACTTAAATTTTTTGCACGTTCTGAACTCCTAATGATAACAAAGAGTGAATAGCGCTACTGCCACGATATGCGAAGCGTTCAAGCCGGCACAAGCGTAGATGAGAAGAGCCCCACAATTCTCCTTGTTGCAACGTCTCTTAGGACGCTTCAGAAACGTCTATTTTGCGTTCAGAAAAAGAGAAAGAAAGGAGTGGGGGGGGGGGGGGGGGGCGCTCTTTGAAGACGACAAATGAAAACTCTCCTTGCCTAGGCTTGAGGAAGGACGGTCTTTCTCTCTGCCACCGTCTAACACAACACCAAGCACTGCTACTATTCAAGGTGTCCTTCAGCTAGCCGAGTCACTCCCATGGACTTGAGGACTATGAAAAGACTTTCCAAGAGTCTTCGAGTACCAACTAGGCTGACCGACGTACACTTTCGCACTTAATCAAAACTTCAAACTCAAGCACCACAACCCTCGATTTGTTCCTTTGGAACTTGAGCCAAAGGTACGACACCATCACGCAACTCGTGCAACAAGGGATTGTGCCCCAGTGAGGAACCTCTGCATGGGCTTCGCCAGTTGTGCTTGTGGGGAGGTCAAACGGCGTGATAGGGCTATGTGGAGGTTATAAACGCGTCATTATTCCAGTCTTAAAACGGAAATCGTAGCCACTACCAACAGCACAGCAAATGTTGACTCAACTAGTAGCATAGTCCTTTATTACGCTTTTGGTCACGAAACGTCTCCGTAACGCTGTAGAAGGGCTTGTTATGCGACCACGCACAGCGCAGGGTTGTCAAGGAGCCAGAAAGCTGTCAATCTAGCCAGCACCGCTGGTAACTGGGCATTCAGGAAGTGCTATTGTAATTTCGAACTCACTCTGAATGAGCCCCCTTTAGATCATGGTGACGCGTCACCGCACTGACAGCATTTCTGATAAGTCTAAGTGTCTTTGGCTCTGTAGGCTGAGTCAACTGGTAAAATTTTGAAACCTTCATTGGAGGTACCAATTTGTAAACAGTGTAAATGTTATATGTGGTGGCAACACTTACAAGAACATATTGCAGGGTCCAAGTGACGGCGCTTTCTCTGCCCCTCTCGCCCTCTCGTATCAAGTATTGTCCGGGGCAGGGAATGGCGATCATAAATCAGACTCTCTCAATGAGCGTCGCAGCATCCTCTTCGCTGCACCGTTCTTTCAATCGAAATTTATTAAAGAAACGCATTTAACCCCAGTATGCCTTCAATTGGCGTCGACGAAGTTTCTGCACCCCTCAGGATGGACGACTCTGCTCATCACGAATGGGTTCTAAAGTAGTTCCCTGGTGGAAACTGCAGTTAGTGATTGGAACGCCTCTAATTTAACTTCGAGGCTAAGAACACCACAAGCTCCGCAAATAAGCTAGCCGTCCTCCTGACTTTCTTTGGTGAATTCACTTATGACACCGTACGAGTCATGCTCGCACCCAAAAAGCTTTCAGATGTTGTGTTTGAGGAGATCATCAAGCGCCTCAATGAACACTACGACCCCAAGCTGGTGGAACTACTCAGTCGGTTCAAATTTCATCAATAGAACGAACCAAACACCGAGAGACGCCATCTCGGAGTATGTGGCCACACTGAGAACAATCGCTGCCGATTGCAACTTCGGTACAGTGACGGCCACACCGACCGCACCCATTCCGGCATAGGCCACTGCAGCCATCCCCGTGTCAAATGCCAGTTCACCACAAAGGACTCGACAGGCCCCACAAGCCCCAGCGAGAGCATTCGCCGCTGTACTATCGCTCGCAGTGATGCTCAGAACCGAATCATTAATGACATCAAGGATTTCCACCTTCAATATTTGCTAGTGGAACGGAACATTAACTTCGACTGTGGTACACTCTTGCATTGGCAAGAGAATCTACCGCCAGCCAGAAGCTCCAAATGCAGAAACAAGGTAAAGTGCCCAGCTCCGCTGCAACCACAAGTAAACGGGCGAAATATTCAATAAACTGTTTCCGTTGCACAGTTATGCGTTCATTTGATGAATGCAATCTTGCTAAAGCCACGTGCGAATTTTTCCAAAAGGGACACCTCGAAAAAGCGTACTTCAAGCAGAGGTACTAAGCTAATCCCTTTGCCACTCCCCGAATTAGCGGTTCGAGCGTCGACCAGTTGTAGACATATCCACATTTATTTTGGGTCGCTCTGCGGCACCCCAGAAAGGCAAGCACAAAGACCTGCGTCGCCGCGAGTAACGATGATGCGATGACAGCGTACAGGTGAAATAAAAATGCTGGCAATACTTCAAATTCAGCTTGTTGGCCAGCGCAAGCGTTCGTGAAGACAGATCATAGTGTCGTATAAAAAAGGCCAAGCGTACATGCATGACATGGTTCATATTCACCGCGCCGGCGACGAACCTGCTCAGCAAGAATGAAGCCTACTCCAGCGAAGATGTCGAGAGAAGGCTCGGCTTCGGAAGCCAGCGGTAGGTGTTGTTGGTATACCCGCTTCCCTCTTATCAAGCAACGAGTTGGGAACGCTAAGGAGAAAAGTACTTGCGCCTTTTGTGCGCTCCTGAAGCACGATGTAAGCCGTCGCTTATCGCGGACGTCACATAGTTGCGTCATCAAGCGTGCAGCCTCTCGCGGCACCGCGTTCACAGCGACTCAGCCGCGACTGCGTCGACCGCGTACGCTTCGCGTTCTAAGCTTTTCAGACTTCAGCAGCGACTGCGTCGACCGCGTAGGCTTCGTGTTTCAGGCGGCGGGATCTATGTTTGACTTACCACAGCGGGCATGAGTGACGTAATGTCACGTGACATTTTGCAAACCTATAAAATAACTGGTTTCGTCTTAAAGCGGAAGTGACGTCATATCACTTGACGTACCGAACTGCGTTTGCGGAAGGGACGTCATGTCAAGTGACAAGGGGGCATGGCCAGATGTTGTACGGGATATTGTTTACTCATACGCTTCCCGGGGGTGGCGGGGGGGGGGGGGGGTACACAAATTTTTATTTTAAATGGTTGCCAGATATATATGTTTAATATATCTTTAAAAGAAGTCTACTGCTTACAACCGATAACCCGACCGCACTGCTTTCGTCAATTGAACTCCTTGTTACAGAAAGAAGTAATGTTTCAATCACGTGCATATGCGAATGCCATAAAAACAATAACAGCTCTTCTATATCTTGTTAATTTGGAATGCCTGCTACTTCCCTCATATTTTATCCGGTTTATTTTAGTCTATCTAATAATTTATCTTCGTAGATTTGCATTAAAGTTGTTGACTCTAATAGGTTCAGTGTGCCTTCATCCCGTAAAACACGCGGATAACCGGCAATCAACTGAAAGGAAATATGGAAACGACAAAGTCGGAAACTTTCGTGCTCAAATATCTGTCATACATTGCTACGCTATATACGCGGCTTTTATTTTGTCCGGTTACCGAGCTAAAAATAGCACTTTAAAACTTTCAGTGTGGCTATATATGTTTAGGAGTTTTATATACCGTTATTTATGTATCGATCACTCGTCGCATATCATATCTCCGATAAAGTGCACACACAAATTTTAGTACTAGGTTTTGTTAGCTTAATAAGTGAAATAAAATCAGAGCCATACCTGACACTTGAAGAAACGATCCTTCAGGATCTCCGTACCAAGTGAACTTCGAAATACCATCATCGAACATTTTCTGTAATTGATTTCCATTCATTGTCAGCACTACAAGCGAGCTTTCGAAGGGCATTGCCTCCATGACGTGTTTTCGCAGTACAGTACCTGGAAAGCAAGAATAATTTTAGCTATTACAGTTTCCTCGAACAGACAGCATGACAAACACAATGCAATGCTAGAATATAAAATATGCCACCCAAATGCAATCAAATGTCATTAAGAACTACGCGAGAAATATAGATCCGTTTTATTCTGGAAAATCATTATGGGTAGAAAGAGCAGCACGAGTATGGCGTTATTAGATTTTGCATGACTAGTAAAGTGATGATCGGTACCGGTCTATCAATGAGGTGAGGCCGATGACATCGCGGCGTAGTTGTGCTGTAAATTAAACCGAATTCAGCAAATGCCTATCGCGAGAGGTAAATGCACAAAAACGTTCTGGCTATTTCCCTGGCGAGATCCTTTGCCTTGTTTTGTTCCTAATTAACTGGTGTCTGTAGTGGTTGTGACTGTGGGCTTTTCGTTCTTTAGCCTTGATACCTTTTTTTAAAATTTAGACATAACATTCCTGGCCCGCCACTATAACTTCACCAAGTGTTTTTCAAGGAAAGTTTAAAATCGTATGCTCTTGTTTTAATTTTTTTGTAGACTAAATCACGTTTCTGACCCCGTGCCCCCTTGTGCTAGGTTTCGCAGTCACGCTGTACAATACGCAGGTATTAAAACTCAAAGAGCATATTGTTTTATGGGGGCCATATTAAGTAATTCAAAGTTTACTCGTGGAATGTTTGTCACCTATTTTTCCTTACATCACTCCTCATTGTCCATTGGCAGAGTAGCACGAAGAATTGTTGTTTCTGCAATCGCACAGGGGTCTGAGCACTTTTGTTGTATTTTGGGAAAAGTCCCTCTGCCTGCAGCTATACTCAAACAATGTTGATTTTGTCCCCGTCCCCCCACGTATATCTTTCATGGTTCTTCATTAACGGTGACAATTTGAAAATCAAATAAAGAACATATATAATAATTCCAAACAAGGACAGGAGAACAATTCAGACAGGACAAGGCATATAATAAAAATTTGCCCATTTCTCGGTAACCGTACCAAAAAAAAAAAAACAGAAAAAAAAAAGAAAGTCGCTTACAACTTCTTGCAACACCGAATTAGAGCGCAGCTCTTGAGGAGGAGGAGGGAAGGATACTGAGGAGAACGTATACCCTTCCTTCCTCCTCCTCCCCTCCTCATCCTGTCTGCTACTTCTCCCTCCGAGCGGTGTCGGCGTCGCCGTCACCGTCGACGCCGACACCGCTCGGACCTGCGAGGTCACGTGACGCTCGGGACCTCACGGGGGTTACGTGACGTCACCGGGGTCACCTGACCTCACGGGGGTCGCGTGACCTCACCGAAGTAACGTGACGTCACCGGGATCACGTGACATCACGTGACGTGACGGGGTCACGTGGCCTCACGGGGGTCACGTGACGTCACCGGGGTCACGTGACTCCATGAGGTCACTTGACATCATCGTGAGGCAGGGGCGTAAAGGTGGGTGAGGAGGAGTGGCAAATCCCGCGCGCCGACATCCTGGGTCCCGACTGAAAGACCGCAAAAGAGAGTGACAGAACACGAGAGAAAGAAACCAGTGTTACCAGCTGAAGGACGAGAGTCGCAATGGTAATCGCGAAGACTGAAAACTCTCAGCAATATAAGCAATGATAATTTAACGTTGTAAACTAAACTCTGAGCTATTCTAACGCTTATAAAAAGCATCATACTCATTACGCTGCATTAACTTCCCTACTGTCGAAATCTCGGAAATCTGGTGGTTGCGCGGTTTCGTATTCCCGGGGCGCGGCCACCCCCGAAGCCGATTATCTGGTTTAGATTAGTGTTGTCGGGAGGCCGTACATCTGCGCGCTATGCAAAAAGAAAGCTTCGAAAGGATCGCGAATATCTTTCCACCGGTAAGTTCGTGGATTGTTGAAGTTCATGAAACTGCTAAGATGATATAATTATATTTGTGAAATCGAAGGCAGTTGGTAACCATGTGTGGGACCCCGAGGGTCTGCCTGCATGCCGCCGCTTGCGGCACCCAGAATGCATGGAAAAATGGCGGACCTTTTCTTCTACAGTTAGTATGTATGATCTCTATGACGTGAGGGCGTCATTGCCATCGTCAGTGATGACGTCATCCGCGTCGTCATCGTCATCATCACGATGACGTCATCGGTGACGTTACCAGTGACGTCACGCGTCCCATAATGCACCGCGCGGTTACGCCGACGCCGCTCAAGCCGGAAACGGGCGCCTAACAGCTGCGTTCTAAAAAATATAGATTATCATGAGCAAGATAGCGTCGCTTCCCATTGTTTTTTTTTGTTGTTTTGTTTATTTGGGAACTGATTGCTTACGCATATTACAATGCTTTTGCTGAACGTTTGATGGTCGGGCCTGCCATGCCTTCTATGTGTGACCGACTATGGGGTTTTTCCTCGCTTACCTACTGGCGGCCGAGTCTCATCTTTATTTATCTAGAGGCCTTTGTATTCCAGATTTCTGTGTTGAGAGCGACGAAACACAGCAGTCATGTCGGCTTGGGGAAAATATAGAATCACACTTTATCGTCTTTCATGTCTGGTAGTGGCACGCGGCTCAATGCCACGAAAGCAGCACGTGGTGATGACACCATCTACATCTCCCCCTTCCGATAAAGTATAGTAGTTAATTCTAAATAAAAGGTTAATTTATACAATCTCTGTAATACTCAGGTGTCGGGAGAAGTACGAGCTTTTCTGGTCTTGGAAAACGCGCGGGACTTTGTCGCCGTCTTGAGCTTCTCCTGAGCTCGGGAGCTAGCTCGGGCGGCTCGGGTGAAGGCCCTGGGACCGACGGCGGTACAGCTGCTGGAAGGTGCTCCCGCGTTCGGCGCAATGTATGCCAGTCGTTCGCACGAACAAGGTAGGAACGTGGGGTTCCCGCTCGCCCTGCTACAACGGCTGGAGCCCACGTGCGTGAGCGCGTGTGAACGCGTGTCGTACACAGACACCGGTGTGGCGGTTTCCAAGTCGGGCAGTGGATTAGTAGCACTGTTGTTGTATTAGCGCAGGAGGTCTCTAATCACCAGCCGTCGGTCTTGTGCCTCTCTGGGGGGAATGGTGCTGGGCATTAAGTGGCTTGATGGAACTGGGAACAGCGTCCATGTCTGCCTTCCCATGAGTCTCGGGACTGGAGACTTTAGACGGTCGTCCCTCGGGCTGTTCCTGTGTTCCAGCAAAGTTCAGGAAAGCTCTGGAGATTTGAAAGAGAACTTGTTCTGTAGTTTTTTGTATTCTTGTACAGCGCGCTCGGCCATTTCGTTTAACCTTGGAGAAGACGGACTTGAAGTAACATGCACGATTCCGTGTTTACTCACAAAATCTCGGAATTGATGGTTGCAGTAAAATGGTCCATTGTCGCTGCATAATTTCACTGGAGGCCCGTTGGTGGCGAAGACTTCCAGGCAGGCTGTGATAACTGCAGTCGCAGTTGTCTGTCGAAGCACCTTGACTTCAAGAAATGATGAATAGAAATCAACCACAGCTAAAAAATATTGACCGGTGGGATAAAACAAGTCAGTAGCTACTACTTGCCATGCAGACTGGGTATGTCGTGGTTAAGAATATGGACTTTCGCATTTCTCGGCTTGAACGTTTGGCAGACGCTACAGTCTCCGCCAACTCTGCAATGTCGCTATTGATGCCTCGCCAGTACATCACGCCTGTGGCCCTTGCTTTCATCTCAGTGCCCCCATGTGCGGCCTGCAAGTGACTCAATATGTCGTGTCTTTTTCCCGCTGGGATGATAAACTTGTTAATTCTAAAAACCAGTCCGTCCTGCACATATAGTTCGTCTCGGTAGTCCCAGTAGCAGCGAACTTCTTGGGGAACAGAGCTTTTTTCTTCTGGCTAAGAGTCGCTTGCGAACTGCCGGAGTTGTGCCATCGCCGGATCCTTGCCAGTTTCCCGGGCAATGTTCGCCAGCCGCTGATCAGATACAGGTATATAGTCGAGAAAATTCACGTTAAAATGTTCAGATTTTCCCTGAAGTTGCGTTTTGCCTAAAAATCGCGACAAGGCATCGGCAAGAAAAAGTTCTTTTCCTGGTTTGTACGTGACGTTTATCGGTTATTTCAGTAGGTTATACCGCATTCGTTGCACAAAATGGTTTTCTGAAAATAGACTCAAGAGGTCTGTGATCTGACGGGATGATTACTTCTGACTACCTAAAGATATAATCTTGAAATTTAGTGCATCCATGCACGATAGCAAGCATCTCTTTCTCGATCTGCACGTATCGCTGTTGGGTCTTGGTGAGCGAGCGTGACAAATACGCTACTGGCTGTCCGTCTTGAAGAATCACCGCCCCTACACCTGCCTGACTGGCGTCTACTGAGAGAGTCTCCGGCTTGTTTTTGTTGAAATAGGCTAGCACTGGAAACTTCGTGAGCGGTTCTCGCAGTCATTCAAAAGACAACTGTTGCCGTTCTGTTTAAACAAAGACGTCATTCTTTATTAGCAACTCTTGCAGAGGAGCGGTAGCTGTCGACATGTTTGGTATAAAGCGTGCCACAAAATTAACCATTCCAAGAAAGAGTTGCAGCTGCTTACTGTCTTTTGGCTCCGGTATTCGCATGATGTCCTGAAGTCGCCCGGGATCTAAGCTGAGCCCTTCGTTGGTGATGACGTGGCTCAGGTACCGGACTTGCTCCTGCAGGAACTGTCAGTCCTTTTTGTTAAGTTTCAGGTTGTGGTCCTGGCAGCGTTTAAGTACTTTTCTAAAGTTCTCGTCATGCTCCTCCTTGGTTTGGTCCCATACAAGAATGTCATCCATTACTACGGAGATGCCTGGAAGCCCATCCAGCACTTTGTGCATCGCCCACTGGAAGACTTCTGGCGCTGTTGATATGCCAAAAGGCATACGAAGGAACCGGTATCTGCCGTAGGGTCTACTCATTGTGAAAATCCTGGAGCTCTCGTCGTCCAACTTGATTTGCCAAAGACCAGACGCCGCATCGAGAGTTGGAAAGTACCTTGCTACACTGAGGCTGGGGGCAACGTCCTCC